TGTTGAAGAATGACGGATGATAAAAACATACCAGACGATTTTGGGTCGAAGCCATGAAAATTGTCGCGTATGTCATCAACCAGATTTCTTAGCAAGGATTACAATATGTGTCACCTAATGAAAGATTGTGGAACATTAAGCCTAATGTAAGTTACTTCTGTATGTTTGGATGTGTGTGTTATGTGGTTATTCCTAACCACCTACGTAACAAAATGGAAAAGAAAGTGATATGTTGCATCTTCATAGTGTATGACAAGGAAAGAAAGGGATGGCGCTACTGTAAACCAGGAACCAGAAGAAGTTATATGTCTCAAAATGTTGTTTTTTGATGAACGATCATCATGGTGGTCAGCCAACAATGAAAATCTTTCAGATACCGATTTACTCAAGGGAGAACTTGATTCATCTAATGTTAATTTAACATGAGTTGATATTCTGACAGTGATTGTAGAATACGAGCCATCAACAACAAGCAACAACCATGGAAAAACGGAATCTTTCATCCCATAAGTGCAGATGAACAAACATCAGAAAGATTGCGAAGGTTCACGCGTTTAAAAAGGCTTAATCCAATGTATGCAAATGAAACAATTGTTGAAGATGATATTGTTGAGCCTGCAACATATGAGCAAGCATGTGTCATGGAAAGATGGATCTCAAATCCGTTTCAAGAATACGATACACTCATGAAAAACAAACTTGGGAACTAACCCTAGAACCTAGTAACATGAATACTATTTCATGTAAGTGGATGTATAAAGTCAAACGAAGGATTGATTGATCGGTAGAAAAACTCAAAGCAAGACTAGTAGCATGGGGTTTCTCATAGGAATATGGGCTGGATTATGAAGATAACTTTAGTCAAGTAGATAAGCTAACCACTATGCGAGTTATATTGGCTTTGACATCAAGCAAGAAGTGGGATCTATGGAAAATGGATGTGAGCAAGGCATTCCTCTATGGAGATTTGGATCGAGTCATATACATGGATCATCCATTAGGATGTGTAAGTGGTGTTGCCTCGACATGTCGTGGTCACCACCAAATTCCATATTTTTGAGGGTTTAACATAATACAATCTTAAAGGAAGTAAACCAGGAACGGGTGTCACACCACAACATATTCATCTCATTAGCTCATTTAATGACTAAGCGTCCCGGTTAACAATGAAACCTATAAAATGTTTGTTATATGGAGAAAATAGTCAAATCATAACGTTTACCGATAATTCAATTTTTTTCGTAAACAAATTTAGTTTGAGACTTATTCGTAAATTAGGCTAAATAATGGGACTTTAATGTGACTATGTCAACAATGAAATCGGTAAACATGGAAAAAAACGGCAAAATCGTCACGTTTCCCGTTAATTCATGTTTTTTTATAAATAAATTTTAGTTTAGGACTTATTCATAAATTAGGGTAAATAATAGAGTTTAATGGCGATTTCCCTATATATATATATATATATATATATATATATATATATATATATATATATATATATATATATATATATATATAATATATATATATATATATATATATTGGTAAATGTTAAAAAAACATATTAATTTCCAATGGTCAAAACAGCAAGGACTAGAAAATGGGGGAGCAACGGTCGATCTTTTGAACAGAAATAGTATGCCGTTGGCATACTGCCACTCACAGGAAAAAAAAAACAATTAGAGGCAGTGTTTGCCGTTTGCAATACATGCCACGTTGGAATACCGACGGCAAAACAACCACCACACCCCACAGTCTAAGAGGCTCCATTCATCCGGTATTTATAGAAAGACGACTACCGATGAAAAGTATCCAAAAATACCACATCAATGGTAACTTTTCTTAAAATCCATTATTGTTACCGGTGTTTCATGGTAAACTAATTTTCCAAAATTTTGTAACTTGTCTTTGTAGGTGATGATTAAAATTTGTATTTTTGGGAATTTGAGAATGTCAAATGGCATCTTAAAAATTCCATGGTTAAAAATTAGGTTTGGTCATTTAAATATTTGAAGGACATAGTTTTCTTCTTCCTCGACAATGCAACATTTGAGAAGAACTTCTAAAGTTTTGGTAAATTTAAATGGTGAAGATTATTCATCACCTTTATAATAATCGACAACATTGAAGAGGCTATGCTATGTATGTTAGGTCACTTGACCCCACCTATTTTATTTATTAATTATTATTATTATTATTATTATTATTATTATTATATAGAAATAGAAATTATAGTTATGCTACCCATCTATTTTTTTTATAATAGATTATATAAAAATATAAATTATGGCTATGCTATGTAGAGCTGTCAATGAGTCAATCTGGGTTAGGTTCGGATTCAATTCATTTAGTAATTGAGTTGAAGATTTCAACCCAATCCAACATGTTTATTTAAATGGATTGATATTTCCAACCTAACCCAACATTTTATATAAATGGGTTGTCATTGGTTTGACCTGTTTGTATATTTCTCAACCCAATCTATTAAATAAATAGGTTAAACCTGAGTTAACTCATTTAAAAAAAATTAACTAAATATTACACCATTTAAATTAGTTCCAAACTTAAATAAAATTTCAAAGTATGACAAAAACACAATTCTAATTCACAAACACAAATAAATGTTCAAATAACATTAAAAATATTTAATTTTGACGTGATTTGGAGAGTGGCTAGTATTATCGGCACCAAGAAAAAAATTAGAAAATACGATTGAATTTTTTTTTTAAAACACGAATAATGACACAACATTATAATTTATAAACTCATACTTAGATACATTATAACATTTAAATAATTATTAAACTAAATATATATTAAAGTTAAATGAGTTGGTTGGTTGAAAACGGATTGATAATTTTTACTCAACCCAATCCATTAATTAAATGGGTTAGACGGGTTCACTCATTTAACTTAAATGAGTTGAAAATCTCAACCCAACCTGTTAATATTGGGTTGGGTGGATAGGTTGGATCAATTTTTGCCTACTCTATGTATGTTAAAGGTGGTCCCCATCTATTTTTTTTATAATAGATTCTATAGAAATAGAAATTATGAGCCCATCTTAAATATTTTAAATAAACAACCTTAATGTTTTCGGAGGGGGGGGGGGGGTTATATTTCACCATTGTTGTGTTAGAGATAATTTTATAGAAGGAACTTTTTTAGGGTTTAAAATAGGGATGAGCATTTGAACTGGGGAACCGGAACCAGATAGAACCGATCGGGCCGGGACCTGGATGATATTCTTGTGGATTTTTGGAACCGGGAACTGGTAGAACCGGCAAAAACCGGAACGTATATTGCTATTTCTCGAGGACCGGTTCCAACATTGAAGACACGGCAAGAACCGGTAGAACCATCGGTCCGGTTCGGTTCTTAATTTCAGCTGACTTCGGTTTCCGGGCCGGGTCCAGTTCTTCTGGCCGGTTCCTTTGCTCATCCCTAGTTTAAAAAGTTCTGAAAGCTTAAACATACAAGATAATGAAGACGATTATTTAAGTAGTGTTTGATTTTGAATTGGTTCGGATCTTGACCTTATTAGCGGCAATTTTCTATATAATTAAAATGTAGTATGATGCATTTAGTGTAAATAATAAGTTTCTCTCTTTTAAAAAAAAAGTCAAAAGACTCAAAACCACTTATTTTGGCACCGGATAAATGGACTTCTCAAGATATCACATTAGAGAAATCAAGGGAAAGAGATTTGTACGTGACGTGCATTAATCCAACTTAACACTATAGATGTTAAAAATAGCCAATCTTACAGGTGGCTGATGATAGTAATTCCGGAAGCCAACAACCTTTTGTAATCCTTTCTTTTGATTCAATCATTTACAAAATCGTCGATCAGTTCTTGTAATTCTACCTTAATTTCTGATCCACTTTTTTTTTTATGGTTGTGAATGATGTGTGGATCCAATTCAGCTCAGGCTAATTATACACGCACTGAAATTAATCGAAGTGTCGTATTAAGGCCGATGAAACCAATGATGCTAAGGTACTCAGATTCACTAAATTAAATGTAAACTTACGTACTCCAATAAACTTTGAAACAAATAAAAACAAACGTGGGTTAAATTAAGTAAAGGGGGTGTGGGTCCCTCTCCCTCGAGAGTGTGCATCAGTCACTGCCAAGCCCTGATAGACAGTCCCACGAAGAATAACCATCAGCCTCGAAATCAGAACTATGATAACCGCTTGTATTTTCTTTCTGCCAAACAAAACAATTCATGTTATTAATAAATCTCAACTTTATTCAAAAAATACGCTTTCAGAATCACAAGATATTATAAAAATTATATCAAGACATTACAGCATGTTCGAGGAAGAATGAATACATTTGGATTTGAACATGCTTTTAACTAGTCTCAATCTGGCTTAAATTATTTGGTCAAATTGTGTCATATAACAACATGCCTTATCCTTTTTACCAATATAGGCAATGTACGTTACTTTCAACCCATGATACCAAGAAGAAATATGCAAATTTAGGCGATCAAACATATGCATGCAGTAGTAAAATTATACTAAAAAAACACCTATTGAGAACACTGGCATACTAAGGTTCATCTAAATTCTAAATAGCATTAAGAATTAAATAACCTGCAATATTCAAGTCATAATCACATCTGTTAACATTCAAGATCTAGTTGAGAATAGGACATAATTGGTTCGTCTTTATGCATATGAGGATTGTAAACATTTATTCTTCCCCTTGAGAACCAGTGTGACATTTGTTTTGGTACTCAAAATAAATAGGAAAATAACAATTATACCTTTTCTAGATGTCCTGAATAAATCAAATGATCCGGCAGTAGTTGATATTTCTCAGGTCCAGCAAATGGAGTATTTTTGAAGTAACCTAAACCCATAATCTTTGTCACCATCTCTCTCACATCAGCATCTGTAAAACAAACATTTTATCCTCAGTTCATGTAAGCATACCAATAAATTGAATTAAGTTGAATATCGACTATGGTATCATACAAGTAAACTCAGCTATTCGGATCAATCTTCTTCTCAGACTTGCAAATCCAATTATTGGCGTGCTCAATGCATCTCTGCAACGCATCTTGATGCGAAGTAAGACTAGAATCCACGGGTCTGGAAATCATTAGAGAGCTCAGCCTTGCGATCGCATCCAAATGCCGTTCTTCCAGTGCAACACCCCAACAAAGTTCAAAACGTTGAATACTATCATGTGCCAAACACCAGAATCTTTCCTCCAGCCTCGAATCCACATCAACTTGTTTCGCATCAAAAATACTTCCAAAGTAAATCAAACTCAGCAGATCATCAACAGGTAAAGCCGCATGTTGCTCTTCATCTCCATCTAGGGTTTGTGATTTATTACAGTTTTCAACGTTATCATTGTGACGACGTTGGAGCGCGAGAGTGGTTTCTTCATCGACAGCCACGGATAAGGGCTGTCGGGACTTTTCTAGTTCGTCAACCACGGCGATGATTATTGGCTTTGATTTGAGGAGTTTTTCCTGATCCTTGTTCTTGATAATGGATTTTCCTTGAACGATGGAGTCTTCGAGCTGCGTGATTCGTTTGAGCTTTTTTCTTAGGTTGCGGATACGCTTGTTGATATGAGCGAGGACTGGTCCATCAGCGGCGTCAGAAGTAGCTTTGCCTGGCGCCATTTCTGGAATTCACAGTGGGGTTTACGGAGGTGTTATAAAGTTATCTGAGCCGCCGTCACCGGCGGTGTTGAAAGATATGTGGTAGGGTTTGCAGGGAGGACAAGATCGAAACGGCCACAAGTTAGGGTTTGAAAGAGTTTAGGAGAGGAATAGCTTCCGGTAACCCCAGCCTCAGGTATTTTTATCGCATTTCAAAATAAATTATTTAAAGGGTAAATTATTGAAATCCTCCCGCCTTAATTAAATACAAGAAGTGTTCTAAATTACCTACTATGAGTATTTATCATCAATGGTAAATGGTCGCCAAAGCATGTTATAACATCAGTTCTTTTTTTTTTTCTATTTTATAGTTTTTCTTTTGTTTTTTTTTTCGAATTTCTTTTTTTATTAAAACAAATATATTTTAAATAAAAGGTAATATCTAAATAAAATATAATGTTTAAAAAATAAAATACCATAGCTTTTAAATTACACATAACATCCAAAATAATAATAATAATAATAAACATTACAATACAAAAAAAAAACATATTTTATTTTTCCTAAACAACGCTATTCGTTATTGTTATCGTTACCGTCGAAGATATAATTCGTCAAGTCCTTTCAAAGTTGTCTATGTTTATTTGCATCCTGAATGTCAATGAATCTATGCAAATATTTTGTTGTTTCTGGTTGAAATTGAACGTGTCTGGGCTCCGTTGGGATATAGTGTGCAATATTTCGTCCTTTATCTTCTACTACCATGTTATGCATTATGCTACATGCATACATGATATATCGTAGAGTTTCTAAGTCCAATGGTTGTGCCGCACGTTCAACTATGTGCCACTTCGCCTTTAGCACTCCAAAAGCACGTTTTACATCCTTACGTGCTCCTTCTTGTTTTCTCTTGAATAATTTATCTCTTTCTTCAACTGGGTGTTGAAATGCCTTCAAGAATGTGGAATACGGAGGATATATTCCATCTGTAAGGTAATACAGAAATTTGTATTCGTTTCCATTCACTGTGAAAGGAGCATCCGGGGCCTTTCCATTCAAAAGATCGTCGAATATTGACGACTGATCAAGAACATTGACGTCGTTGTTGGAACCCGCAACCCCGAAAAATGCATGCAAAATCCATAAATCTTAGGAAGCAACAGCCTCTAAAACCAATGAAGGTGATCCATGATGACCACTTGCATACTGCCCTTTCCATGCTACTGGACATTTTTTCCATTTCCAGTGTGCACTTAATGCTTCCAATCATTCCGGGAAACCCATGTCTTTCTTCATGCGTTGCATAAAGCTCTTGTGTATCATGCAATAAAGGTTTCCGCAAATATACGTCTCCGAATGTTTCAACAACACCTTTTGACATTTTATACAAACTTTCCTGTGCAGTTATTTCAGACATTCCCATATAGTCGTCCATAGTGTCGGGTGACTCCCCCATATAGTTGTCCATGGTGTCGGGTGACTCCCCCATAACCATCAAACGAATGGCCGCAACAATTTTATGCAACGTTGTAAATCCTCGCCTACCTCTAGCATCATGTCTCAGTTGAAAAAATGTATACCTAAACATATATTAACTATGGTTTAAAAACATACTACATTTGTATTATAATTAAAGAAACATGTAGTACATTTGTATTTAAGATTAAAGAAATGATACCGACTTTCCAAGGCATTGACGATCCGTAGGAACACATTCCTACTCAAACGAAACCTTCTTTTGATGTCCTTCGACCCGTATACACAATTATCCGCAAAGTAATCGCGATATAGACGTCTGTGTCCTTCCTCGTGATTTCTACTTAACAATGCGTCTTGTTAGTAGCGGGGTTGGGTCTGGTTGTAGCATCTTGTTGGTGTAATAATGATACATCATATTGAAGAATATATCGTCACCGTCATCATCAGACAAGTCGAAATGATCCATAATTTTTTTTTGAAGATAATTGAAATTGTAGAGAGAAACAGAGGAAAAAATTGTAAATAGATAGTATATATTTATAGGTAAAAAATAATTATTTTTTTAAGTTATTATTTTTTATTAATTTGACCGTTTTCAAACTGTTCAATTGGTCGAAATGGTGGAAATTAGCTCGTTTCATCCGGTCAAGACGGCAATGAGATGCACTGAGGGGAGGGGCGGTGTTCATCTCGTTATGACGTCTTTGAGACCACTCCACGTCAGCCATAACGGCGTTTTGGTGCCCATACCGCATCGTCTAATAAATGATTTTTTGACATATTTCACACTCTTATTTAATTTGATAAATATCATTTTGTGATTATTTTGAATTAATTTTTTTTACACATGTCATTTTATGGGTTTTCTTATTTATTAAACTAGATTATGACCCACGTAAAACGTGGGAGAACGTATAAAAAAGTACATATAAAGTTATAAAAAGCCGACACAATAAAATATATATATAAAGTAACATAAAGAGAGTTCGCGTTATTGGTTATATTGAAACGTCTAAAAAATAAAAGAAAATGCATGAATATCTATAATCGTTAAAGGACCTCTTTGAAGACAAAATTTTTTGTTTTATTAGTTGAACGATCTTTCTCGTCACATAAGTTGTCTTTTTAGTTGAATTATCTGTCATTTTTCATTTTCATTTAAGTTTTTTTTTTGGAATTAAACGAAAGGAAAAACAACATAATTTCATTGTATGAAAAAAAAATGGAAGTATAAGGCTATAATTGATATAAAATCCAACAATGATAGTTCATAACATTGACCTAACTCATATAACTTTTTAGAGATTATTTTTTAGAAATTGATTAATTGATTAATTTTTATATAATTAGAGAAATTTCCATCAAATGATTGGTCCATATTTGTTTTTTGTTTGACTAGTCCTTTTCTTTCGAATCAGTAAATTCTTTCCAAAAATCTAATTCAATAACCAAACATCGTAAAACCAAATTACTTAGGGAAGCTTCTTGACTTTAGTTAGATTTTTATAAACGTGGAGACTAAGATAATTTTTGCAATTGTGTAATGTTAAAACATAGTGTCATATTTAACATGTTTCCTTTTAGAAATTAGTTTTTAAGAAAAAATATATTTTTTTGGCAAATAGTTATTTGAGAAAACATGTCATATCGAAAATTACATGTAACACATTAAAAAAATATTATTTTCATTAAGCAACGGACACATATAGTTATATAAGCGGCAACAATAAATAGTTCTCTTTTGAAAAATATCATATTTCAAACAACACAACATATATAAAAATATGATTTTCCGTTATGTCTATAATATATGTACAAAATTATGGTTTGCATTTGTTTCAATGTGTGTTTAGAATCTATTGATTGAATGTGAACAAATTAAAAGAGTATACATAACTAAAATTTTACCTGTTATATGAAGTAGATTATATAGATTATAACAAATGATATAAGTACTTTGCTTTGGGGTTAAAAAAATATAAATATATTGGCATTTTATGTTAGCAAAATGATAGTACTTTGCAATTATAGATAAATAAGTAAATTGCTATACTTTTGTAGATCACTTCAAGTAGTAGGTTGTTATAAGTACTATACTCATATGTTCTACTCCTCCCCTCGTAAAGCTAGTTTCCAAGTTAATCAGGTGTAGTTGGCATGATGATGTGTCAACATATATGCCATGTTATCTACAGATGAATACTGTAATTATTTTTAATTTTTTTTAAATTTTAAATTTTTAAAAATCAGATAAGTACTATACCATATTTCCAATAAGTTCCACATAAACATCACAATATATGAAAAAAAATTAATTTCAACAAAATAATAAAAGTTAAACACGTGTGGTTGCTTCTAAAAACCAATAAGTTCCAAAAAACGCTAAAGTCAAAAATTTGTTATGGCATTCTACTTGGAAGTATCATGGGATTAATTTTATATGGAATCTATAAACATACAATACACATAACCAGATTCATGAATCAAGATAAATAGTAATTGTTGATTACTTTCATTTGGATACCCTTGACATTTGTATCAACATGTGTATGTAGTAGAATCTATGCCAAACTTTCACAAAACAACTAATATATGGGGATAACCTTTTAAGTAACACAATTTGACCATTTCTTGCATTTAACTTAAAAAATAGCAACATACTTAGTTTATATCTTGCAATTAACTCAGAAAAAAATGCAAAAAAATATTTCAGTAAGAAACATTGAGGCAATCCAAATCAGAAACCTACTATTACAGAAACATAATCACATTCCCTCTCCTAAAGTCTGATCATGAACTTAATTCTTTTTCAGGTTTATCAAGATCTTCATGTTTGGGTTTAGTAGACAATTTTGGTCCAAGATTATTTATAGCCATCTTGTAATCTGTAAAATCCCAATGATAATGACTTAAGAAAAAAACAAAATTAGAATTTAAGATTGAGAGGTACTTAAATGGAATTGAAACAGAAAATCTATTACAATACCAAACTATAGTTTCACTAAACTAAGTAAAATAAAAATGAGAAACATGTCACACAAATCGTGTTGGGTTTCGAAAAAATATAAAATTCTACAGTCATTTCTGATGGGTTTTAAGCATAACAAAAAAAAAACTATGTGTGTATACAACCCTAATTCTTGATCTATGTTTCTCTAATTTAACATATAACTTTTGAACATCAAATGGAAAATACTAGGAGGCATATAATAATTTCGAAAAATCATATAACTAGGGTTAGAATACATACCTTAATTGTTATATAGAAATAACAATAAAATCCTAGTCTTCTTGAAACCTTGAGAGCAAGCGTTACAAGTGTCACGCCTCTAGTAGATCACACCCAAACAAGCAAGAGGATGAGAGAGGAGAGAGTATATGGAGATCTAGGAATTTCGGCTATTCTTATAGGGTTTCAGATGGCCGAAATTCCTTAGGGATACAAGTCTATTTATAGTGCAACAAGGATGCCCTGGATAACTCTAATATGAATATAATATTAATTCCATCTCCTTAATTATCCACATGGGATAATCTAGAAA